GAGGCCAACTGGCCAATGAGGTCACGACATCCTGACGTTGTGACGTGGCCTGACTACGGCATGAGGAAAATGCCTCTAGAAGGCACAAAAAACCTCCTACCGTTGCAGGACCATCCTGCGACCTGATGGACAGGGCAGTGGGAATGTTCTCGACAGAACCGGGTGTTCTGACTAATCCCAAGAAATTTAATGAGCTATTAGAGACTTTAGCAAGTCTGGAAAGTGTCCAGATAACCGACTTTTTACTTCGTTTGATTTTGTTGAAGTCTGAAGTCCAAAGTACGGCGGATTCCAGTTTAGCAGGTTTGAAAAGTGTTCCCCGAGTAGAAGTCCACATTTTATACCCAAATGAAGCATCATAACCACCGTTTTATCCACCGCATTCGCCTGCCCCTTCGCCTCAAGCTTCGTCTTCTACGCCGTACAAACAGGGCACCTCAGCTAACCATCCCTTATGTGATCTTCTCGCTGAACATGTTCTCCGAAGCCGACTGCGTTGAGAAGTTTCGCTTTTCAAAATCAACGCTACAAGCTTTGGCCATCTTCCTCCGAATTCCAGCCCGAGTGGTGACTGCCGAACGCACATCATGCTCTGCTGTTGAGGTGCTGTGTATCTTGTTGCGCCGATTTGCCGTTCCGGACAGGTGGTCTGACCTTATAGGTACATTTGGAAGATCACGAAGTGGCTTGTGCAACATCTTCTTGCATGTGCTGGACCACATCTACACCGAGTTTGCTGACGTCATTTTTCTGGATCGCGATCGCATTTGCAAAAGGTTGGCTGAATTCAGCCAAGCCGTACAAGACAAGGGTGGTGAAGTCAAGAATGTTTGGGCTTTTATCGATGGTACTGTCAGAGAATGCTGCCGGCCTGATGGCGATGAGCGTCAGCGAAGTGTGTTCAATGGCCACAAACGTCGCCATGCAGTCAAGTACCAAACACTTGTGACTCCAGACGGCATCATTTCATATGCGCTTGGACCGATTGAAGGAATGCGCCATGATCTCACTATTTTGCGGCAATCAAGGCTGGAGGAAGTTCTTGGTATGGACGAACGCTTCCGTGGATTTGTTGTCTACGGAGACCCAGCTTACGGTTATTCGGATCAACTTGCATCGCCGTTTGGTGGTGCGCGATTGACTGCTGCTCAACGTGAAGTCAACAAAAGGATGAGCCGTGTCCGAGTCAGTGTGGAGTAGTCATTCGGCCAGATTGTTCAGTACTGGCCAATTGTTGACTACGAGAAGAAAATGCGTCTAAGAAGTAGCCCAGTCTCCAAGATGTACAAAGTTGCAGTTTTGCTCACAAACTGCATTAATTGTGACCATGGTAGAAATACGAATACTACTGCTCTGGTCGAGTGCGCCCCGAGTCCAGATCAACCTCGCTGAGGTCGGTTGCTGGATGTTGGATTGATTCGTACGGGACGATTTACGACGGGACGATCTGTTCAGATAACCATCCGGTTATCGATCGTCGTCCTGGAGTCTAGGCGTCCTGGAGTCTGGGCGTCCTGGCAAGTTGCTATTGTATTGAGGGGAACGAAGTGAACTGACTAGGAAGGTAATGAGAAGTAACTCAGTTTGGATTTTGCATTGCTTCCCGAAAGGAAGACGCCTTGCAGACAAACAAGGCGCGGACTCACAACAACTACTCTGGTCCAAACGAAATGTCAGTAAATCGGAATTGGTGTAAAACAAACAAATTAGAGCGAATGAGAGAATAATATACATGTGAGTGGAAGATAATCTCGAGCACTAACTACTGGTCCTTGACAATCTACCGTAGTCGAAGTAGTGGCTGACATTTTGCATTTCAAAGTCATGCCTGTTTCACTCCTTTCAAGTGACTGTGAAAATGATCCCACTCTGGTCAATGGTCGCCGCCACCTTAAACCAAAGGAACGACACCAAATGGCAATGGAGCTCCTTGGGAGAGCCAAAACAGCGATGATCTCCAACGGGTGTGTTGAAATGCTGGCCGAAAAGTATGGCTGCTCATCGAGGACCGTGTACCGTGTGTGGAAAATGTGCCGTGGTGCGCAGAGTGGCGTGAACGTGAATCTGTCAAGCGGACACCTTGGCAACACCAATGCGAGGAAATACACGCCGTTGAAAGTCGCCACCGTGCTCGACAAGATCCGAGCATTACCGCAAGAGAAGAGGTCCGAGCTGCGCTCAATTGCATTCGCTACTGGTGGTCCCCGAACGAGCTTGTTGGGTTTGATCAAAAGTGGAGGGCTCATCCGCAAAACCATGAATGTGAAACTTACGCTGTCTGAAGACCAATGCAATGCCCGTGTCGAGTTTTGCAAGTCTTTCCACAAAAATTTGCGCCAAGACGATGTGTACGATGGCATGTTCGATGTTGTCCACATCGACGAATAGTGTTCTTTTATGAAGCGTGTAAAATCACGAGTTTACCTCGTTGATGGTGAAGAACTTGAGTATGACACGACTCAAAGCAAGAGATACATTAGCAAAGTGATGTTCCTACGTGCCGTTGCACGGCCAAGGTATGATTTCGGACGGCGCAAGTATTTCGATGGCAAACTTGGGATGTGGCCCATCGTGGAGCAAACATTCGCCAAACGATCCAGCCGCAATCGGCCCAAGGGCACCCCTATCACTCAACCAGTTCCTGTCAACCGGGATTTGTACCGTTCAATGCTTGTGGATATAGTTTTCCCTGCGATCCGTGAGCGCTTCCCCAAGGTTTGCCGGCTGGTGAAAGTCCAGCAAGACAATGCTGGACCGCATTGCCTGCCTGACGATTGCTTGCTCCAAGAGGTCCTAAAAGGTAAAGATGGTGAGATCGTGATCAAGATGCTGTGTCAACCTGCGGATTGCAACCACCATCTCTCAAGGAATACTTGCATGTAAACATGTAACTTGACTCACCATTGATGCACTTTTACTTTGACTTCTCTGCTACAACTTGAATTAGGTTCCCCATCTCTAACAAGAGACGCTCCAGTTATTCGTTTCTTTTTGTGCTCTCGGCCATTTGAGCCAACCGGAGCTTTTGCTCCTCCTTGTCAAACTCAAGCCGCTGCATTCTATAAGCATGGTCGTCGGCATGCTTCTGCTTTTCGAACTCAAGAATTTCTTGAGTGACCACGTCGCTATCTTCCTTCTTGATGGGTGCCGTGTTTGCAATGCGTTGCCGCTTGACAATCCTTTGCTCAGCTTCAAGGCAAAGTTGGGATCCAGTGGACTCGAGTGAGTCCCGGCGCTTCTGCTCCTTCTCCTTCTTGGTCTTTTTGGTTTCTTCAGACGCAGCACGGTGGTCAACAAGGTCCTGGAGAAGCTGAACTTGTTCGGGTGACCTCCTCGTTGCTGCCGGTACCCCGCGTTCTCTGGGCCTTGTCAGTCGCCTTGAACGTTTCGACCATCGTCTCGAAGTGGTCACGTGCTGATCGGTGGGGAATCTCACAATCAAAGAGCGTTGACAGAGACACAGCGATGGAAGGCCATCTTGCCGTTAGTGTTCCGTACTCACCGTCGTATGCTCGACACGCACGACTTCACGAAGCAAGGCTAAATCCATCTCCCCACCCCAAGCTAGCTGCTTTTGCATGGACTTGCCCATCGTCAATCGAGTTGTCTGTGGGAGGTGACTACACTAACAAGAATAGATTTGATTGGCTCAGGACAGGAGTTTGTACTCTGCAGACTTCGGGGCAGAAAGTCCACGAACTTCCTCACTTTGCAGGCTTGATTCCGGTGGAGGGTGATACCAGGGCAGTCCCGGACTCGATGACTCGTCGAGATACACTTCAGACAGCCACCGCCGGACCGTCTTCCTGG